TTTTGTGTTAATTAAGAATTATTACGGTTTTGTGTGCATTGAATAAGTAGGTTTCTGCAATACTGATGGATCTTTAGCTCCTAAAGCATTTTTTATTAAGTCTAATATTTCGTCAAAATATATTGGAAAGTTTGATTTGCATGATATTTAAATTAATGACTTACTTTATTTTATCTACTCCCACGTTTAAAATGCCCATTTCGTACATGTTGACAAGTTGTGGCTTTATGGCCGGCAGTAAACTAGATTTAACTCTTTTCGGGTGAAGACTTCTCCGTGGAGTGCCTATAAAACATTTTCTTTACTTTCACTGTGAAAAACTGCTTCTATATCGGATTTTTAAGGGATACATTTCGATTTACACAAAAAAATTGACATTTGACATAAAACAGATTTGCTCTATACAAATAATTAAATATAATCATGTTTAGATAATAAAAAGTATACTTTTGTCGTAGAAAAAGACACTCATTTAATTAAGCACTCGCTCGCGCCTAAATTAAATTTCACTAAATAAAATCTTAATACATAATATACTATTATCTACTTATCTATAGATATGTATACACTGTGATTTGAACCAATCGAGTTTTAAATTGGGAGAAGGCAACTATAATAACATTTAATATTGGTAAAAAAAAAGATATTTATTTTTGGAAAATTATTTAATTATCTACTTGAGATTATGCGCATTATCTCTGGTATAATATTACTTTTATTTTATTTCGGTCTTTACTCATGTAACAAAAATAATACCAATCACATGTATTCAAACTTTGAATTTCAAAGTAATGAATACTAATCCCTCTTTCATTTGCATTTTACTAATGCATTAATGCTATGTTAGGGTTAATTTGTGTTAAATTTTATTAGCTTTTGAAAGTACGCCATTAAAATGTTACAATGTGCCTACTTAACATTTTATAAAACATTTCAGTTAATTTTTTACTAATGAACTATCATTTATGCACGTTATGAATAGGTTGAATTTTAAAACCATATAAAATACGAAATAATAAATGTTGAAATTTTTTTTTATATTAATGTGTACAATAAAAAGTCGTTTCGTCGTCAATAGGGCAGCGGACGGCCGAATATTGAAACGGCGCGCCGTCATAATGGAGTGATTCCAAAGTTAGATTGTGGAGAACACATTAAAACACGGCCATTGTTTCCCGTACAAAACTGAAATATTAAATTTGAATAAAATAGAAATAAATTGAAATTATATTTTTCGTTTGTGGAGCATAAATTGTAAAAGCTTTGTAATGGAAATATTATATTCTATTTGGATTTCATTAACATGGCAATGGAACGTGACATTTTTATGAAAGTTGCGAAATTATTGCAAAATAAAGTTAATAAATGCACATTTATTCCGATTTTTTCTAAACCTTTTATGTCATAATATGTAAAATTTGTAAGAGGAAAACATAAGGTTTGGCTATAAATAGCAATACATCGTAATCATTTATTAAGATTGATTTAAACCATAATCCTGATTAGCGCGAATACATAGTCATTCGCACAAGTTATGCATATCATAAATTATTCGCCACCAAATAGGATTGCCATCAGACTTTGATTATAATACCCTCTAATTAGCTATGAATATCTAAAAGCGTATTGATTAACGTAAAGTTCAATTCATCAACAGCACAGTACGAATGTTTCAAGTTAAGACATGGTCTTAAGGCTAAGGCTCTTAACCTTGCACATAAATGTTCTCTAAATTATAATTTTGAAAACATTCTGTATAGGATTAACTTAAAAATACAAATGATGAAATTGGAGACCTCATAATTCAGCAAAAACAAAATATGACGTCACCTTGTGATCACGATAAAAATTTATTTTAGTTTATTACGAGCCCTAACCACATAATGTTCGGACACTTCATAATTTATACAGAAATTTTTTTCGTGAATACTATCTCAAAATTATTAGAAGTTATGAAAAATTCAGCTTATTTTGGCATATACCCCTCGAAGCGATTTTTATTTTTAAAAAGTTTACCTTTTATTTTTAGCTTTTAAAAAAAGGCTAACTTTTTAACTTTTTTTTGCATGAGTAAAAAAAGTTATAAATGGGCCCATTAAAAAGAACATAAAATATTATACAAACCCTGAAAATTTGGTAAAAATTGTATAAATAATAAGAAAGTTATAGCGATATATGTATCTGCAAAATCTCCCGTTTCCTAAGAAAATTGCAAAAACTCTTTAAAAATAGCATTTTTAAATTACTTATACTTTTTTATAACTTATTTATTTTTTACCAAATTTTCAGGGTTTGTATAATATTTTATGCTCTTTTTAATGGGTCCATTTATAACTTTTTTTACTCATACAAAAAAAAGTTAAAAAGTTAGCCTTTTTTTAAAAGCTAAAAATAAAAGGTAAACTTTTTAAAAATAAAAATCGCTTCGAGGGGTATATGCCAAAATAAGCTGAATTTTTCATAACTTCTAATAATTTTGAGATAGTATTCACGAAAAAAATTTCTGTATAAATTATGAAGTGTCCGAACATTATGTGGTTAGGGCTCGTATAAGCTGATAATAAAAATTTACAGGCTATAAAATAAAAATATGATTATGATTTTGAGTAGATTTCTCGAGCCGTCAAATTGCAATGGCTTGAATATTGGACAAAAATAATAATGATCTACCAGGAGAAAACAAGGTATTTACGAAAACAATGTATGACCGTTTATGTACAACTTGTACAGTACAAGTAGCAAAATTCAACCTTTTTATTAATTTACGGACTTCATAGGGTATACTAAAGTTTTATGCAATGAATTTACAATCCAATTTGAGAATAGTATATTCTCTAACAAGTTTGGAATACGGCATATTCCGCTAGAGTAAAAAGTTTGTCACACGAACCAAAGGCCCCAGCAAACACAACCGTAAAGGTTCTGTAATGGCCCTTTAAACGCGTGCCTTTAATAAACTAAAGGCCCTATAAAGGCTGACTTTAATGGACCTCTACATATTATGTCGCGTTCACCTTTTATGGGCATGTAACGGCAGTCGATAAAGACACTTACAAGAACCGCTAAAGGTTCCGATATGGCAGGTTAAAGGTACAAATGTGGCAAGCTAAAGGTTCTTATATGGGGTGTTAAAGATTCTATAGTGGTTAGTTAAATATTCTTTAATGGATAAGTAAAGTACCTATTATGTCGGATTAAATGTGGTACCTACCTATATATTTACTAGGTACGGATATTTCATGATAATTGAAATATTTTATCCCGACCGATTTTTGACGGTAGGGATAAAAATTCCCGATTATCGTGTAATATCCGACCTAATAAATATATACCTACCAAATTTAATCCACCATAATAGATAGGTCTTTACTATATAGATAACAGTCGGGACATCATGGAATGTCCCTAAAACTTTCAAAAAATTAAAAAATACAAAGTGTTTAATGTGTTATAAAATACATGTAATTCAAACATAATTATAACATAACATATTTAATTGAAAAAAAACTTAACAAATATTATAAAATAAAATAAAATTTCTTTCAGTAAATAAAAAAAAATTAAAATAAGAAAAATTAATAATTTCATTGATTTTTTTCCTCTCGATTTTTACGACCACCATCCCTGTCGATTGCTCCCCTTAACCATGCTTTTATAGTATTTTCAATATCTTTTGTATTGGCTAATTCAAATTTTAGCCTAACCGTTTCTAAAAATTAATTAATTTTTACTTAAAAGTATCATTAGTAAAAGAATATATTAACCTAGGTTATTAAATAGTACGACATTAATGTAAAAATTGTACAGTAAAAATACTTACTTGAAAAAGGTAGTACCTAGTTGTTTAGTTCATTAATAATTAATTATAAAATACACCTATTAGATATATTAATATATCTCAAAACCTATATTATTTTTCTATATGCATATGCATAATACCACTAACATGAGGCAATTCATTAGTAAATATGGTGTAAAGCAAAGGAAAACATTTGGCACTGTAATGGTGTGTTACAGTTCCATTAACTTGATACTTATAATTGCCATTTGTGGGCCTTTAATGTTAAATTATACATATCATTGCCTGAAAAGGGCCATTGCAAGACCTTACCACGACAGCCTTTGGTCTAAATTGACATTTATTAACGAAAAATTCCTGTAGAGGCCCAGTACAAGAACAGCTTGGGTTAAAAATGCCATCAGACCAGACTTATGTGTTTGCTGGGGCGAGTTTGACGGTTTCACGAGAACGGAATATACAATTCCAAATGTTGTTGTTTTATTCTTATACTTTAAATTTTTGGTTACATATCTTTTATCTTTTGAGAATACATTAATTGCATTAAAACTTTTTTTTTTCGAAAAATCTCAGTAACCAGAGTAACGACATAGTGAAAGATTTCATCAAGAAATGAAGTCCATGAAGCCGCGCTATTTTTTAGATAAACAAATTTAAATTTGGTTCCTCATAAGAAAATCAGATGCCGAAAAAAACAGAAGACGATCAAAAGGACTATTTCTAATAATAACCTGCTCTCATAAAAATACCAAAATAAAAATAAACGAAATCTATTCTATAAGCTAGGGTTTAAAAAAAACTTGTATGAATGTTATAAAAAACAATTTCCTCAAACTGTATTGTTAATTAATTTAATGTTACTACAATATACGCCACCAAAAGTCCAAAAATAAACAAAAAATTGAATTTTGCTACTTGTACATAAACTATCATAGCTTTGTTATTTATGCATAGATTTTTTTCATAAATTACTTATTTTCTTCGTAAAAGTTTTAATACCTACCTCATTAGTTTTATTTTTAAATCGTAAAAAGCTCCATATATTTCCCCATGGATACGATATTATTTCCAATATCTCCTTCATTAAAACTCTTTCCAAAACAACAAACACCAATAAACTATTTAGATCCTGATATCAAGTTTGGCATTTATTTGGTACTCAAAGATGATTTGGTATTAATTAATTTATATATTGTTTCAGGTCCGGAAGGATGCAATCTGTTCATCTACCACCTGCCTCAGGAGTTCACCGACACGGATTTGGCATCGACGTTCCTGCCGTTCGGCCCAGTGATATCAGCCAAGGTGTTCATAGACAAGCAAACCAATTTGTCCAAGTGTTTCGGGTTTGTGTCGTTCGACAACGCGTCCTCGGCTCAACAGGCCATTTCCGCCATGAACGGTTTTCAAATAGGTACAAAGAGGCTCAAGGTGCAATTAAAAAGGGCCAAAGACGCCTCCAAGCCCTACTAGTTAGCCAAAGAGACACTTTTCAAAGCCAGTTGATTTAACCCCCTCCCCCTAAAACCCCCCAAACAAAATGACCCCTTTTTACCCCCCAACATAATAAATACAGTGCACCCGAATCAGTGCAGTTCCATTCTCAGGATCTAGCAGCTATTTTATGAACTGTGAAATATTTTTACTAGTTAACTGCGGTTTGAGGCCGCTGTAAATTTATTTAAAGAAAAATTGATAAAAAGATGTATTTAATTCTTGTACCGACTATGTTTGAAATACCGATCTATCGCTATTGGCCTACCATCAAAATGACGCTAGCATTGAAGAGTATTCCAAATGTTTAAGGTGTTGGGAAAAGATGCACTGACAAAATTTTAGAAACTTTTTATATTTTTAACCGCAATCACTTCCAACATTTTTTAGACCAAAATGGAATACTCCACTAAAGCAAACCACCAAAAAACATATCTTAACTAATTTTAGTTTACACGAGTAGTCCAAAGGTATTTTTAATATCGATGTACCCACCAAAGCCAAAAATTTGGTATGTATTTGTTGAAGATATACATATATTTTTAATATAAGCTTTGAAGGTAGTCACTAGTACTTAAATAAAAGTACTTAATTGTTAATCACGTTTAGTTAGCCGGCGTATTGTTGAAAGCATTCCATCGAAAAATGTTTGTTTGGATCAATTTATATTTTTAACGAAAACGGTCCAAAAAAATCACTTGTTTATGTAGAAAAGTAAAGGGTAAGAAATACATAGTTCATAAAAACACACAAACTGATTCAAAGTCTGACCGTCACTTGACTGCGTTGGAAACTGGGATAGCCGTCGGTAACGTTTACTGAGTTATCACGTGGCCATACGAATCAAAGAATATTCTAGTCTCTCGTAAAGACCGAACTTTGTAAACCACCACGGCGCATCCCTTTTTTCCCTCGTTATAGACTGTACCGTACTTTTTTACTACTAGAAAGACCCTTTGATTTTGAATCAGTCAGCTAACGTCATTCTGATTGAGCATAGGTGATGATCGGGCATTATCGAAATCAGTCGGTCTTTCGAGGAATGACGAGGATGTTCGGTGAATTTTCTGTTACGTTTTTTTTTCGGATATTTTTTTTGTATTGTTTTTGGTTGGATAGGTTTTATTTTTCCTGTAAAATTGCGTCTGTTGCGTTTTGTGCGTATAGGCATCCTCTGTTGTTAAGTTATATACCTATAGAACAATCGCCGGGTTAGATACCTAAAAGATTAAGGATTCAGCATCCTTTATTGTTACCGTTTCTATGTCCCTGGCTTTTGGTCTATTTAGTCCATTTTTTTTTTCATGTTGAGTGATTATTATGTTTTAGTTGGAGTCAATACATTTATATTATTATTACCCTTTAAATTATGAGCATGTATGATTTGAAATGTACCTTTTATTTTCAATTGTTATTAAACCAAAGTTAGACCAAACATGGCTGTTGTGTTTAATATTTGCAGGGTCTCTGTAACCACCCGGTCCTTTTCAAACAAAACAAAACTAAAATTATAACAGTCATAACAAAATAAAAAATGGGATAATTCGCATTAGACAAATAGTGCTGGTTGGAACCATGATCCAGTAATGAACGTATGCAGAAATGATTCTTATCGTACCGTATGGTATCCATCAATTTTTCTCTGCGAAACTAAATTAGGATTATTTTACCTAAAAAGAATCATTATTATCAATATTGTGATTTACCTTTAATTTATAAAAACAAAAATACATACTTAACTTTGTTTTGTTTGAAAGGGGCTTTAACAACCTTTTCCTCTCCACTCTAGTGTAGCCTAGTCTGCAGCAGATTGTCTCTAGTGCTCTAGTGCTGTGTGATTACACACACGTGTGTATCACTATGTCCGTACTACTATACCTAGTGTTCACCACAAAAAAATCAATACCAAAAAATATATACAGTGTCTTTTCTGGCTGCATCCATCGGCTCCAACGCGTGTGGCTTCTGTCTGTGTCTACTAATGTAAATGTGTCTTCATCTACAGTAAGTGCTCTCATACCTACTAACACTAGCTAGCTAACCTAACCTGTTTTTAGTTTTATTTATTTTTGTTTTATCACGGATTTAATTATGATATGCGGAAACACGATTATTTTTAGTATAAACATAATTTAAACAATGTGAAAACTTATATAGGGTAAGTTTTAAGTTGACCCTTTTTTTTTAACTTAAAAATAGAAGATAAACAGCCTTTTAATGTTTAATTAAGGAGATTTATTTTTTATTCTAGCTGTCAATTCTTTGCAAGTATTCATCAGTTTTGAAATACTAAACTTTTCAAATAACCCAAGAACAAAAATTCTAAGACTGGGCGATCTTGGTGGTCACGTGACAGGTCCTCCACAATGCTCACGTAAACTGCCCTAGCCCTTTGAACAGCATTAAAAATGCCTGAGAGCCATTTTTGTTTTTATTGTGGGGCAACATTTCCCAAGTGTAGCAACAAAAAAATAGTTAACTTTCTTAATCAATTTCAAATTTTTATTTTATTAAAATGGGTAAAAAGTTTACAGTAACATTTTAAAATTATATACTTTGATTTTTGTAGCTTTTTAATTTTTTTTCAATAAGGCAAAATATTTTGATTTAATTAAAAATAAAATAGTTCAGTGCCGTATATTTTACGATATATGAGTTAAAAGAATAAAAAATACCTAGACATAATACAAGGTCTTAAGTCTTCTTAGAAATTATCATATTTTGATCATTTCTAAGACCTAAGTATAGCAAATATGTATATCATTATAAAGCTTGATTCTTTAACTTTAAAACCATACAATTTTAATAATGGGATATGTTTTCGACTGTTTGATGAGCTAAAGCGCAAAAATGTGTTATCTGTCATCAGGCAATACTTTGACAGGTGTCAAGATGACAGGTGGCAGATGACATATACCACAGTTAAACATCTCTACAACAATTTGTATCTGATTATTAAACATATGATTTTAAAGCAAAATAATCAACCTTTCTAATGAGCCTAATTTATTTATAAAATAATTATTTTTGTTTTCATTAAATTATAATTTAATGAAAAAAAAAATTTCTTCATTGGAAAAAATGAAAAAAGAGCTAGAAAAAACAAGTTGTTAAAATTAATATAAAAAATGTTTTATAAAATATTTTTTTTAAGTTCGTTAAAAGGAAAACTGTAAACTTTCACCCCTGTTTCTCTCTTATTTTTGAGTTTTGATGAAAAAGTTTCTTAAAATACTTGTCAATTGACGCTTTCATAAAAAAGCGGCATTTAAATAAAATTTATTTTTCAATATTTTAAGTTTGGTAATGGAAAACCATAGCAGCCTGTGAGAATATAAAAACTAGTCTAATTGTATAAAAAATTAATTAAAAAAATGCAAAACGATGTTCAATTTATGTTTCTTCTAAAATGTATTCTGTCGGTTATTTTTTTGTATTTAAAATCAAAATTCCGCTCATTCTTTTGCTTCTTCCTTAAAACCAGGAAGTGCAACGCTTCCTTCAAACTTGTTTTTATGAATACATTTCCCAGTGCCTTATTGGGGTTGTAATTTATGAATTTAATTTCTGGGCGTGACTTGCCCATAAATTATTGCTAATTTTACAGGCAACGTATAATTTGAAACCGTTTACACAGCGACATTCAAATTAGTAGTATCGCGATTACGGTAAAGTGAAAATTTTAGTCGCATTACGCAATTTAATGAGTTAAAAATCAAGGTTGAAATTAAAATCACAGACAGTTTTTTCTAGTTAAAACATGTAGTTAAAATAATTTTGCTAATGCAAGTTCGCGGCTAGTTGGAATTATTACATTATATAAAATGTTCTTAAATTTACTAACAAGCTAACCAACTCAATTAATAACATTTATTGTTTTTATTTTATAATAGTTACATTATTTTATAATTTTATGTATGTTTTACACAACACTTACATAGAACCGTGAAAATTTTATGTTTACATGTAAACCGTATTCAATGTTATTTATGTTTTATTGTTTTAATTTTCTTTTTTACATGTTAGAGATAAAAATATGTTTAAATATCAAGAATTACAAACTGCAATTTGTCTAATTTGACTAAGTATTCAATTATTCCCATTAATTTGCGTATACGTCCATCAGTTTCATGATCGTTATAAAATGAGGTAATAACAATAATAATGCAATGTCCCCCAATAAAAACTTGATGGTTCATCTTTAACCTTGTTTATTTGCACTTACTGGGTCATTAAAGAAATTACACTGGGAACCTTACGGACCAACAGCATCAAGTTTATGTCTATTTTGAGGACCACTGTTAAAAATATGAGAGTAAATACTTTTTGACCAAACTGTAGTTTTAACAAACTTAATTTTTATTTTTATAATTTGCTATAAAAGCAAATAACAAATAGCAGTTTTTAATTCAGGATAGTTTCATTTTACAATTGCTTACTTCGAATCCGTCATTTGACCTGTTGAATATTTTTACAAAACGATAAGATAGCAAATAATCGTATTTACTTTTACCTTGACAAACAGTTTTTTAATGCCAAAACAATAATAATTACTAGAAACGAAAACAATGTTAACACGAAAATAAAGTTATAGATACGAAAATAATGTTTTGTGTCTAAAGCTTAGCACCTACAAACAAATTTTATAATTATTTTTCTTTATTTAGGGCAGGTGCCTTTTTAATCCCCCAAATCTGTCCATGGAGGACGCTGAACGGTATTGAAGGTTGTGCACCGGCACCCTTTGGGTGCCATGGGACGAGCCGCTACTGAATATTGGGCCCTGAAAAAATAGGAAGTACAATTTTTTTTTAATTTGTTATTTATTTCAATAAAGCACCATGAGTCAGTTTTGCGTTTTATTTACCTTAAAATATGCACAAATGCAAATGGGAATCAACAATTTGATAAGAGACAAAAAATGGTAAGTAAAAATGTAATTTACCTACATACATGATTTGCTATTAAAATAACGTGCCGATGCCATACTATTTTAAGTATTACAAAAATAGTCCTATAATAATATTATATTATACTGGGTGTTTCACGTAAATGCGCATTTTAAGGTATAGACCTTATCATTTCATTATTTAATGGTCGCAATGAAATTGCGAATTGCGAAAAAAACTATACAACACGGATACAGAGGGTCAAGAAACAGCACACGACTAGGAAAGTTAGGCCCCTACAGCTAAATAACAACACCAGGGGCGGCTAGTGCATAAGGGCTGCAGAGCTGCAGAACTCCCAAAATTTTCTTATTACTTGACTAATTTTTTAATTATTTAATATTTAAGTGCGACAGTGTATGAATATTTCAAACGCATGGCTGCATAAAAAGTTTTTATTATAAACATTCGCCGTACTTGGCCACTACAGTCATCCAAACGACCGGTAAAGGTCTCTAACGCTTAACGCTTACAATACAACAAAGCTGGGCCACTTTCGAGTTCTGGCTCCCATTTCAATACCGTAATTTTGCTCCGCGCCGCTCTTGGTCCTAGGTTGAGATAGTGAAATTTAAGCCAAACCGGAGCTGCACCAACATACAGTTCCTACTTCCCGGTCGTTTGTTTTTCGCTTCGCGTGCACGTTTGTTATTTTAACTAGAAGACTGTTAATTCGGTGTATTTTTGTGTTTGTTGTTGTATTCTTTTGTAAGAATGAATGTGGTGTATGATTTAATTATGATTTAATTAATTAACTGTAGGTACCATTTAATTAAATGCCCACTGCGCCACATTTTTTTAAACCCCACTGGCATAACTCACAAATTTTACTGCCACGAGCCGCCACTGAACAACACCCATTGTTTGAAATAAAAAACCTAAACACAGAGTGTGACAGTGCGTGACATTTTTTAAAACCTTAATAATGTCCATACATACAATAAAAGTATGCAGTGGTTACTTTATTAAGGTGGTGACAGTACAATAATAATAAAAACTTACCATTATTCGTTCCAGCCATAAGGTATGACAGTATTTAATATAAACTGATCGAAAAAAGTTAAGGATATTGTGAATTTTCTGAGAAAAAAATAGTTTTTAAAAAAATTTGTACAATGTACTCTCATCTCTTTTAGAAATAAAACACATTTGTTTAACTGAAAAAATATTTTAATTAGAATTTCCAGGCAACTTTTCTTTACAATGTAACAAAGCAGATAATTATCAAAAAGAAAAAAATCATTAATAGCGTGTAATTCCACCTCTGTTGGCTATTACTGCTTTAACTCGGCGAGGCATGCTTAAAATTAAACAATCCAAGTCATTTTGATCCAAGGTGTCCCATAAATATGGAAGAACTTGCCTCAAGTCCTAAACAGGAAGTTGATGGCAATTGGTACCCTTCCGAGCATGTCCCAACCATGCTCGATGCAGTTTAAATCTGGAGAGAGCGGGGGTAATGGCAAATGATTAATTTCATGGAATGCTAGCCGTTCTTGTACTACCCTGGCTCTGTGCGGGCAAGCGTTATCATCCAGAAATCTGAAATTTTGCTCCACATTCTAACGATAATCGCCGCCAATAGTTCGTATTACCCCTAGGGTGGTTTTAAATCGATTAAATGAAGCAGGTTTACATTGCTATAGGCCTATAAGACGCCCTCCATTGATCGCAGTCCATAGAGCTCAAAGTTTGCTTTGGTGTAATGAAAGAGCCAACTGGAATGATGAGTGGCGTACTGTGATGTTCAGCGATGAAAGCCGCTTTGGTCTTCGTGCTGGGGGACCAAGAAATTCAAGAGTTAATGACCGGTATGTTCAAGAAGTGCATCCATTTGGAGGTGGAGGTGTAATGGTCTGGGGTGGAATTTTCTACGGAGGTCGAATGGAGTTGTATGTTTGTGAAGGTACCATGACAGGTGAAATTTATGCTCACGACATCATTGATAACATTGTGGATGATTATCGTTGGAATTTGGAGCCCAATTTCAGATTTCTGAATGATAACGCTCGCCCGCACAGAGCCAGGGTAGTACAAGAACGGGCAGCATTCCATGAAATTAATCATTTGCCATTACCCCCGCTCTCTCCAGATTTAAACTGCATCGAGCATGGTTGGAACATGCTCGGAAGGGCACCAATTGCCCATCAACTTCCTGTTTAGGACCATATTTATGGGACACCTTGGATCAAAATGACTTGGATCGTTTAATTTTAAGCATGCCTCGCCGAGTTGAAGC